AAGCGCACGCACCTTATAGTGAAAACCTCTCCAAAAAAAAAAAAAAAAGCATCTTATGCTAATTCACCCTGCTAAATTATGTACAGAGAAAATTTTTCAATTATTGCATTTGAAAATAAGTGCTTAAGTTTTAACAGAACTAATGTTGTATTAAAACAATGTATTATCAAAAAACTAAAGTGTATTATACATCATTGTAATTATATAGAAAATATAGACTTACATATAATCAGGATGCTAAGAATTTTTATATGGCCTTCTATGAGGGGAGTTTGAATGTTAATAAACATGTTCTCCACTTTAAGAACTACTAGTAAATGTCTGTTCTACCGTAGTATTACCACATTAGCCTTATTTACATGCACAGCGCTATAAAGGGATGATGATTGAGGTCAGATAAACACACATCACCTTGCAATTTTATAAAAAGCAACTAACTGCTCTTAAGCAATTAGGTAGCCCTTGAAAAGACCTATAGGCAAAATTACTCCAAAAACAAATGGTGTACATTATGGTACCCTTTTGTAAATTATGGTAAATCTTTATGGTAACTTTACATACAGCCTTGAAAAAATAAAGCGTGTTTATCTATAGATAGATAGATATAGATAAGTCTGAATTGACTTAAGAAATCGACTTAAGAAATTGTCATGAATAAAGGCATGTTAAATAATAAGGGGCCAGCTGGTGGTGTGGTGGTTAAGGTGGCTGAATGCCACATGGGTGACTGAGCAGTTTGAGTCTTGGACTCAGCTGCTTGAAAAACATGCCAGACATGTATGCATGCATGTCGAAAATCCTGAAAGAAAGGAGAAGCAGAGAAGATACTGTAGCAAGACCATCTCCCATGGAGGGGGGTGCTTTCTCACTGTCTCTCTGGTAAGCAAATATACCTGTTAACAAAATAAAATTAAAAAAAAGAAAAAGGAATAATAGGTATAAGAGCCTTATATTCTTTTAAAAAATGCGTTTTTAAAGAAATACACTATGAGGGGAGAAAAAAAAATAAAAATGTATTATTAGGACCAGAAGATGCATAATGATTATATTGCTGGACTCCCATATAGTCAATCATGGTTTGAATCCCAGACACGGTGACTTAAAAACTCATGCTGGTGTGTGCGCATGCATGCCCAAGATCCTGAGAGGAGAATGGAAAAGGGATCGCGGTGTGGTCATCCCTCCTTGAGTGGGTAATTTCTCACTTTCTGTCTCTCTGTCTCTGTTTCTCCAGCAAGCACATGCGCCCTATAGCAAAAAATCTCTCTCTGAAAAAAACATTATCATTATCTTTTTAATTTTCATTTCTGAAACATTTTTTTTTTCCTTAAAAACCAAGACAAATCCACAAGAAAAGCTTAGGCTTACACAGGGTCAGGATCATCAATGCACTGTTCCATCTCTATATCTTATCCCACTGGAAGAGCCATGGTGAAGAAAACACAAGATTAAATCAAGCACAAGAGAAAAATGGTACAATCAAGACATGCAAACAGTTGCTACAGGAGGCTACAGCTGGTATAACACAACATACGGTTTTACAGGACAATTTTTCTTTTTTTAAGTAAGTAGGAATACACTCTAAAATAGAGATTAAGCATACAGTATAGTGTTATGGTTTGAATCTGTCCCCCAGAGGTTCATGTGTTAGAAATATAACTACCTTTTTACTGGGATTAAGAGGATGGAACTTAATCCTATTATGGAATTGAGAGGTGACACCTTTGGGAGAAGACTAGGACCAGGATAGGGTCCCCATGGTTGGATATTGGTGGATTTATAAAGAAACACAGTCCCAACATAGACATGCAAAACCTTGCCATGTGTTACAAGTTTTTGCCATGTGATTCCTTCATTTCGGGATGCTGCAATTTTGATCCTATCATACATGAATATTGCACAGAGAGACTTAGGCCACTATTTTAAGAACAAGACTAAATGAGCAAGAGTTCACGTTCATGTTAGCATTTTTTAGTTCAGATTGTTAAATCGCATGCATTATTCATGTAACAACCAATTAGACACTCTTTGTTTCTGTTTTTCTTTTTTCTAATTCACTAAGCATTTTGAAATTTTTTTTTTTTGAAGAGAAAAAGGAAAATAGAAAAAGAAAAGGCAAGAAGAGAAGATAATAATTTGATTTGGAAAGAAAACTCCACAAAGTACAATTGTCATTACAGAACAAAACTGTTTTATGTAAATTATGTGATGGGGATAAGATTGATGGTGTACAAAATCTGGGGGTGTAATGGGTGTGTGAGATTTCAGGTACTGTCATGTTGAATGGGATGAGGAGAAAGGAATTGTATTCTGCTTTAATTATATTAAACCATATTAGTTTAAACTGAAATAAAAATTTCAATGCTTTGAAAGAGTAATATTTTGATCTGACTATGAAACTTTATCTATTAGTTATAACTGATAAAAATAGATTTTAGACACCAAAATTTAAAGTGTTTGAGGTAGAATTTCATCAGAAAAGGAAAACATTTAAAGCTAGAGCATCTATTGTGGATAATTTTGAGGCAGCATTCTATTTTAATGAAAGAAAAGTATATGATAAATCCTAAATATTTATCAAAACTTGTTTTGTAATATATTGGGTGGTTGGAAAAGTCATACACATTTTTGCATAGAAAAAGTAGAAAAAACATGTCATGACTTTTCATACAATTGAAAAGATTATGTAATGTTTATGTATTTTATCCCTATCTATCAATAAAATCATGAGCTGATAAATATCACTTGTGGATAAGGCTCTAGGTTAACTTTATTAATAAAATTAAGAGCAAATGAAGGTATATCATTATTAGAAGTTGTGCTTTATCAGCATAAATAATAGTTACCTTTACAAATGCAACAATTTTCAAGGAGATTGTTGCCAAATATAGAGAGTTCATCACAAAATCCATGAGATTCCACCAGTCATGGATGTAATCTTGAAGTCCACCATCCCACATCTGTTTAATTTCTCCCCATATAAAACCTGTAGGAATAGAAAGATTCATTGTAAGTGAATCAATCAAGCCACTGAAGACGAGACTTGAAATTTAACAATTATAGATCCTGAAGCTGTAAGAGCCCATATATTATAGTTACCCTTAGATGCAATGTCTATTTTTATAGGTGATAATATTGAGATCAAGACATATTTTGAAACTTTTAGACACTAAGCTATTTTTAGAAGATGCTATTAGGGTGGCCACACCTTCATCCATTTGATAAATTCATAAGAATTTGCAAATTTAAAAATTAAACTTTAATTCCTATATATATTTATATAAGAAATGGAAAAACTATACAAACAAATAAAATGGAAGATGTCATAACCTTTTCTCCTATCAAGTACCTTGAGATATATATTTTTCTCCCAAATCAAGGTAACCCAAAAATTCATGAAAAGCAGTTTGTCCTGCAAACATAGTTGGTTTTAGGTAATTAATCAAGGTACATTTTATACCCTTTTAAGCAGCTGGTGCCTTCAGAGACCCAACTTTAGTTTCAAGAAAGAATGGTTATCACTTTCATGCTAATTCATTAAAAGATATAGCAATAGCTTCAAAGCTATACCCAGAGTAAGTATAAATCTCTTCCTCTGTTATAGTCACATTTATAGTCACATTTATAGTAGGACATTTTAAAGCTTTTTGAAGTATTTACATAAAATATCAGCATAGATCATTATTTCCAGAATCTTACTCAAATGTTTTTATTCTACTTTTAGAACTTAATTATGAGAAAGAAAAATATCAAAAATATCTAGATAAATATGATATTATATTTACAGTAACACAAACAAACAGTGAGACTCTTTTAAGATTAAAATAGTCTGGAGCATAAACTGTGTAAATACAGAGTTCAGCCTCTGCTGAGGATGTAGAAAACTGGAAAAAGTATTGTCCCTATATTGCAAACAAGAAAAACTCACATTAATTATAAAATCATATCCTTTCATGCATTTATCAGAGAGATGAGAAACCAGAGATCCTGAACTTCAAAAAGAAAACAAAGCATATTGCACCAAAAGAACCATGCTATGAGCCTAAGGGCTTCTATGAACAATAGATGCTATTGCCATCCCACTGGTGGCAAAGTGCAGAGGGGAAGAGGCACTGGCCTTGCATAGCACAGTAAGACTTCAGCAAGTAAAACCTTTAAAACCAACTTTTTATTTTTTAAGCCATTTTATTTTTTAGAATGATTTTATGTAACTTTATTTATTTACTAACTTATTTTAATTTGACCAGAAGGGACAGAACAAGAGGAAGGAGAGAGAGAGAGAGACAGAGAGAGAGAGGAAAAGTGAAAAGGCAAGCTATCAGGTCTGGTACTCAAACTGCGATCAGCCAGGCGGTCAGTCATGTGGGAGTCCAGCTCCCTCAACCACCATGCCACCTGCCGGCCCCTTAAAACCAACTTCTAGAAAGGATGAGTGTGGGTTCATAGAAACCCTAGGAGCCGCAAACACAGGGGAATTTACACCCCTTGTGTATTCTTCTCCATAGACCCCACCCCCCCATCATTCAAGTGAAACAGTCTAGTGCAAGCTTGGAGGGACAAAGAGGCTGCTTCTGTGGGAGAGGCACAAAGTCCTACCCAGGCTCCTCCACACCAAGGAGCAAAACACTTTAGCTCTATGGAAGAGGCAGGAAACAGTCCTGCACCTGGGTTTCTATCAGTACCACCCCAGGTTTTCTACCACTGAGGGAGGGGCAGGAAACCCCTACATATGAACTACAAAGTTTGACTGCCCTGAAAAGGAAAGTACAGATTGCAGAGAGTGTTCCATCCCTAATGCCCAGACATTGACTTCCCTAAATCTGACCCTGAACCAAAACAACAGAGAAATCTTCCCTCCCTCATCACCAAGCCAACAACCACCAGGTATCAAGCAGAAGTTGATTAACACTGAAGGTGGGCCAGGAGCTTGAATAGAGAAGCTCTCTGAGACACATGTTCAGAGGAGGTCAAAATCTGAGTGGAGAAGGAATACTGAGAATAACCTGTTTCCCAGGTTAGGAAGAAGTTTATGGTGTGCTGACACTGTAGCAATCACAGAACCAAACTCAACTAAACTCCTGTCTGTATGACCGCAAGCCCCATGCTAATGCTCTAACATAAGAGGTATGCACACTTTTGGGAATAGATGCTATGTACTTCTGTAGTTTTCTGCATAGGTAAAATAAATAACACTGTGAAACACACACACACACACCACCACCACTACCATGTTGCATTTTATTATAACTATTAAAAACAAAACAAAACAATACTCCTAATGAAACTTCGGAAGAGAAAAAAGTTGCATACATGCTGGTCTATCATTAATTAATGAAAACTAGCACTGGTTATTTAAAATTTATTTTTCACCGTAAGTTACATTTCAATTCACAACTTAGGTAAAGACTGATTTTAGGTGAATTGACTATAGTGTGTAGGGTCTGCTATATGCCACTGCCTTACTCTAGATTTGGTGTTTATATCCTAGCTTCTCCGTTTTTCTTTGTTTTGTTTTGTTTTGTTTATTTTTTTTTATAGAGATTTTTGCTATAGGGTGTGTGTGTACTTGCTGGAGACAGAGAGTCAGAGATAGTAAGCAAAAGGTCACCCCTAGGGAGGATGGACATGCCATAATAACCTCTCCTCCATTCTCCTCTTGGGATTTTTGGCATGCATGCATATGCACCCAGTATGAGTTTCAAGGCATTGAGTCTGGGACTCTAACTGGGGTCAGCCATGTGGGAGTCCAGCAATGTAATTACTATACCATCTGCTGGTCCTGCTAGCTTCTCCTTTGAGTCTTTCATATGTATTTCTCTTGTAAGCTCAGACAGCATTGAGACATAATTGGGGAGGTGATAATAGTCACCACCTTTGTACTGAAGAAATGAGTTTATCATGACAATGAAATTTGATGCACTTCCTGGATTTTAGAGTTGGTGAAGGTTTAGAATTTTTTTTAGTCAAAGACAAAAAATTCTTGGCATACATGAGAACACTTCACTTTCTTACATCGAATTTTTTTAAAAATTTTCTTTAACCTGGATAAAATCTAAGAATCCAGCAGATGCCACAACCTACACCAGAAACCTAAGGCCCAAAGAAATAATGTAACCAGTGCTATGCTGCTAGAAAACACCAGGACTGGATTTGAATCTATATTATGTGTAGACAAGTTCTTTTTCTTGAGGTATCACACAGCATACCTTACTGTTTTATTTTGCATGGAACTCTGCTGATTTCCAGAAATTAGAAGATATGTGCATGTAACCAATGATCGAATGAATGCCTTTTAAGTTCACTTCCAACACAAGGCACAGTGATTAGAACTGGGTTATGTCAGGAAAATGAGGTGTCAAGCTCAACTCAGCAATCAGTTTGGTACTCTCTTCAAGTTTCATTGACCTCAACTCTAAAAAGAGAGATTTGGATAATACAACTTAAAAATAGTATGATTCTATCCCAACTGTATCAAAATTTTGCTCAAATCAGTCGTCACAATAGCTGCCATGAAAGATTAAAAACTGCCCTGTACAGAGGGCATAGCCTTGCTCTGGTTTGGCCCAGAAAGCACAAAATGTCTTTGATATGAAAGTACAGACAGACTTTGGAGCCAATGTAAGCAAGAATTTCCAGGCAATTAGAGTTACCTTGAAACAGAAATGGATTACCCTGTAACTGGTAATCTCTAAATGGATTAGAGATTCCAATCCAGACTCTGGAATATTTTCCATCGGTTATATTCTGGAGGAATTCTAGGAATGAGTAGAAACTTGGTCTACTTATTCTTTAAAGTTCTTTCCAACCAATTTGTGATTCAGTTGCTTTCACTTTTGTACATGAAAAATAAAATATATACAAATAAAATAAAATAAATCTTAAAGCATCTAATAACCAACCAAAGCTCCTTATAGATAAATTGCATTATCTCTGCATCTGCTTATACCAAACTGGAAACTCAGATGTGATTATTAACAGTCACCGAAATAGCTAACTTCAAATATTTTGTGGATAAGTAGGGAAGAAAGACACTGGTGTTAATTGCTGCTCAGGATTGAACGAGGCCCATTGGGAAAGA